AGTTCAGTTGATGAGACTTTGAAGGGGTTTTTGAAAGTAATAAGGCTTCTCTATCTCACTTGATCTTCTGAAAGTTATAAATTTTGCTGTATTAAAAAATTCAGTTCTTTATGTGTTTTAACCTCCATTTTAAATAATCATTTTATATTACTTCTTTGTATTCTGAGAAATTTAATGAGCTTCCAGTGCACTTTTTAAAAAAGTTTATTCCCAATTTCTAAAAAAAAAAAAAATTTAGAGCATTACAAAGCCGAGCATGATTGAGTTTCAGTCATACAGTATTCCAACCCATTTTTTTCTTAAACTTTCTCTAACAGTGTCTCAGATCTGATTTTTCAGTATTCCATCGAGGCTTACTTTTAAAAATCATCTTTATATTTCTAGACATTCCTTAAAATTTTTCCTCAGAAAATCGTATCCCATTTGTTAAAAATAATACTTGCTTTTATTTTTACTTGTATTCCTTTAAAAATCCTATTTTTATGGGGCTGGAGCAATAGCACAGCGTGTAGAGTACTGACTTGCACATGGCCCACTCGGATTCCATCCCTGGCATCTCGCAGGGTCCTCTGAGCCCCTCCACGAGTGACCCCTGATTGCAGAGCCAGGAGCAAACCCTGAGCACTGCTGGGTGTGGCCCGAAGACCCCCAAAATGATACACAAATATACTGCTTTTCTTTTCTATTTTATTTTGTAGTCTCATCCAAATTGTTTGGTGAGTTCATGCTTTCATAGCACTAACTTAACCACTCATTATATTGTCTGCCTTCTTTATAGCTGTTCCATGTCATGATACAAACGCTTTATTATTAGCTCATTTTTAGAACTATTCTACTTTTTTGTCACTGATCAGTACACTTGGGACTTGGAAAAAAAATCTAGAGAGTATTCTTCTTTTTGTTTCTTTTGATACACTAAAAGTTTTACCAGTTAAATAAATTATAGATTTTTAGTAGCTTGTTGTATTCTTAGACTCCATTCCACTGCTATCTCTGTGTGTGTGTGTGTGTGTGTGTGTGAATGTGAAGTGACAACAATATTTTTCTTTTCCTTACTATGGATTTTATTGTGGTTTACTTGGGGCTAATAAATAAAATTTCTCCAGTAGTTTTTCATTAAGATTGCAAGCGTTTTCTAGACCCACCTTTACTGGGGGTTCTTTCTTCTAACTCTTGGCCTGAAAAGTTTTCCATTGCAGGCCTTTAGTGCCAAGCTGAAACCCTAACTCATCATACCTAGTGTCTACATCCATATGGAATACTCCACCTGCTTATTCTGATACGATCAATTTCTTATCTGGATTTCCATTTTGGCATACTGCCTGACATTTGAGGATTTCTCATTCTTCTTAATGACTCAAACACAAACAAGAATACATGCACACCCCATTAGTGTTTTACTATACAGCCACAGTGTCTTATATTGAGAAATAAATAGTATTGGTGATGGTGAGACCTTCACTGCCCAACCGCCACCACGCTCCAGGCTGCTTCGCAGCCACGTAACATATCATAAGACACTTCCTGCCCATTTTCCATAATTACCACACCGTATTTGATGGGGTTCAGACAGTAGGCAACAAATCACACACACACACACACACTCAGAGAGCCTGGCAAGCTATGAGAGTCTCCTGCCTGCACTGGCAGAGCCTGGCAAGCTCCTCATGGTGTATTCGATATGGCAAAAACAGTAACTATAACAGGTCTCATTCCCCTGACCCTGCAAGAGCCTCCGATCATTGGGAAAGATGAGTAAAGAGAGGCTGCTAAAATCTCAGGGCTGGGAGGAATAGAGACGTTACTGGCATCCGCTAGAGTAAATCAACGAACAATGGGATGACAGTGATACAGTGATACAGTGATTGGTAGTGGAAAGGAAAAAAATGGGTCTGTATGATTGTTTTGAACAAATTAGTGAAGAGGTATTAGTGCCTTTCAGTATTCTAGTTCTCTTCAGCAACATTCAGCTTTTCAAATATAATGCATTATGTAGGCAATATTTGGACCTGAATTGTACTGACATCTATTACAAACTCTGAATGTCTCTAAACTAGCACTCTGTCTACGTTGCTGTCAGAATCATTTGCACACAATTTTGAGTAAACTCAGCGTTTGCATCACATGTCCGGTTCAATGATAAGTAAGCTCGCTTTATTTCGCCATATTGTGATGCTATTGATGCAATAAAGATATATATTCTACTAAGGTAAATAAACACTAAACAACAAGTCCTTTTGTGGGGTGTCTCCAGAGTGGTGCTCATGGGCCCAGAGTCCTGGGAATCCTTCCTGGTGACACCTGGCATCTGGATGTAGGGTTCAAGGCCAGGGCCTGCAGGTGCCCTGCTCCTCTGACCTGTTACCTGGGCCTCCCAGTAGAGCACCAAGACCTCCCAGCCCAGACCTGAGGGGTGCTGAGGGTGCACCCAGTAACACCAGGAGACCCTGACGTAGGGGTTGAACTGGAGCCATCTGCATACAAGCTGCTTCTTTCAATCATTTTAATTGTCAGTGGCAAACGTTCTGGCTGTCTTTTCTACACCTACACTCTTTCTTAATATAGACCATATCTATCTTGGAAATTCTGTAGTTTCGCTGTTACGAAGCCTTTTGTCTTGAAATATAAGAGCAAATGGTCATGTTACTTATCTCCTACAAGACTTCGGCTGCAAGACTACACCAGAAACAGTTAGCTTACTAATGAACAGAAACTATAGAATTCACTATAAAATACTATAATTGCACAGCACAGCAATAGCTCTTTGATTTTTATCACCGAAGAAATCAATTGCGGGTCAGACTACAATTTTCTGTTGTGTTAGAGGAGGTACACAGAAAAACAGATGAAAGAGTTTATTGACTTGGTAGGGGATATCCCATAGCAAATTAGAATTGTAGAGGGAGACAGCTAATTTTAACCAGCTTATTTTAATCCTAATAAATATATGTTTCAGTTTAACAAGAGGCTTAATGAAAATCAACTAACAAATATCTCTGTGGTAGCTTCATTTCCTCTCTTCTTTATGCACATAACTCACACAATCTGTATTGGCAAATTTCAAATCCTTTGAAATATTCCATTAATTCTGTAAGAAATAAGCTGTGTGCAATCGGGAACCATACCTTGAAAGCATCGATCTGAATGTTTCACGAACCTGATGATTTAGAACGCTATTTTAAAGTAACCAATGAAAGAACCTCTGGTCCCACCTGCACATCCTATTCCTTGGAAAAATCTATTCACTTGGGTACTTTTAAATATGTACAATAGAAGCAGTAGGTAAAAATCGTTCGAAGTGGGAACATAATTTTGAAAGGGAATATGGAAGAAACTTCAAACACGGATACAGTCTGAAGACATGATCAATTTGTTAAGCACAGCAGGAAGAATTTTCCATGATAAAAATGCTGAAGACACTTGTGTAGTCTGATTCCATCTCACCTATAGAAGCTAACCCTATAGCATGGGGTATAGGCTGTATATCCCATATATGGCTATACTTTGTATCCCATAGATCACCCCACACAAACACAAAGAAGACCGTCTGAGCATGACGGTCTTCTTTGTGTTTCTGTGGGGCCACATGAGGCAGTGTGCAGGGCTTACTCCGGGCTCTGTGCCCAGAGGCAACTCCCGACAGTGGTGGGGATAGAACCCAGGTGCGCCATGTGCAAGACACGTGCCCAGCCCCCGTACTGCTTATCCAGACCCACTGGTTCAACTTTTCAGTCCTGCATTTCCGGCACAAGTTTGTGAGAGGCGCAGTCTCAGTTCCCAGTTAGTAACCACACGCTGAGGTGGAGTCTCCAGTGTGGCCCATTCCCACAGACGCTCACTGAGAAGAGCCAGGCAGGCTCTTCTCAATTATAAATAATTGCTCCCGTCAGTAATTATTTATAGTTAGTTTTCAAGATACGTACGGTCTGTGGAGAGTTTCTGGAGAATAAGCAGAGTTCCTTAAATGTGAACACAAGATATTTTACAACGACAAGTACATAAGTACTTCCTTACAAGTATGCGGAGCTGTTACTACTTTAACTGGTGAAGTGTAATTACAAGAAATGCCAACACCAATATTCAAAGCACATGATTTGGTTCATTAATCTGCACAAGTGTGATTTCTGAACAAGTCTTAATTCTCAATTCCTGGTCATGAAAGAGAGACTAATTTGGTCCATCTAAGGATGCTTCAACAAAGACGGAAAACTTTACAAATATGAAACACAAAGACCCACCTCATTAAGAAGAACCTAAGGCAAACACTATAGAAAGGGAATTCTTTAGCTTACAGTATCTATGATGTTCTTTTCATTTTTTTAAATTTATTTATTTTTTGGGAGGGGTTGCAACCAGAGTTCTCTGCAGGCCAGGCCTCCTAGCCATGATGTTCTTGATCCAATATTTTGTATCCATTTAGAATTTTATATTGTGTGTGGCAAATATTGTTCATTTGCCATCATAAAATTTCACACAAATTCATGATATTCAAGGGGTTGTGGAGATATTTCCTTCAAGTTCTTGTTCCAAACGATAGTATATACCTGTGGAAATGTCTTCTGTCCTTATGATATTTAATTAAACAAGTGTTGGTTTAATGATGGTGATGAATTAGGAATAAATACTTACTCACTACATGTGCCTCTATGGGAAGTTTAGGGGCTCCTTTCATTTTGACTCTAATAAAACTAAATGATGGTTCCTTGGTCTGGGAAGACCTACAGCCCCTCCATGAGAAGTACTAAATCTCCCTCTCTGCCCCCGGAAAAGCAATACTGTCTACGTCATTTGTTAAGCCCAGTTATTATTCATCCCGTTCCTGGGAGATTAGCGTTTTCAATTCTGCAAGAGAAAGCTTCATCCAGTGACACACTGCTATACTCATGCATTTCCCTCGCAGCTCGAAGCACTCTTAATTTCTGATATTTCCCACAAAGATTTCCTTCAGACTGGCGTGGTTCTCTCCAGGGACCCCCGCGGCCACTGGCAGGCTGACTTACTCTGCATGCAAAGGCCATCGGTGCAGTTCTTGGATTGCAGGACCAGGCCATCGCAGTCCTTGCCTCCATTCTTTGGGGCGGGCGCTGTGCACTCCCTCCGGCGCCAGTGAGCGCACTCAGTCCCGCAAGTGGACCACTTGCTCCAGGATGTCCACCTGCCGTCCACTGTCACGAGAAGAACCAGCATTGGGTTAGTCTGTGCAGCTGCTTGAGACAGACCGAGCGTCTCTCCACCAGAAACACCACAAAGACGGACGCTAAGAGATGCCCGGGAACGAGCCCTGCTTTGACTGGACACGGCAAGTGGGCAAGCTCTATCCCGGGTCCTGTGAGTGTCCCTCACTGGGGGCTGCCTCCTCCTGACCAACCCCCGGGGAGCTGAAAGGGACCCACGGAGCCACAAACATCACCGGGACTGAGGCCAAGTAGCCCAGGACTCCCTGCTCTTGGCCTGCTCTGGATTCTTCGCTGAAAATCCAGAATGTGTTTAGGATGAAAGTTTCCTTCATTTGATGTCTTCATGCATCAAATGAACAAGTAAACCAGGTGGGGGGAGACTGATTAAGTGTGGAGGAATCTATTCACACTCTGACTCTGTCTGTCTGTCTGTCTGTCATCTGCCTATCCCACCCTTCCACTGACCTTTCATCATGTTTCGCAAGCTCACTTTTTATTCTGACATGGATTATTCTTCTATTCATTTGATTTTTCCTATTATTTCCATAATACATACATTAATATTTTTATTTCACAAATATTTAGACATATTGTTTTCACTGTGATTCATTTTTTAGAATTGTCTACCTTATTATGGTGGCTAGACTTGTTAATGAGTTTAATGATTTGAGCTGACATATCTTTATTTTTCAAATATACAACTTAAATCTTAATTAAAAATATGTGTAATACATTTCACTCAGGTCATATTTTAAAATACATTCTTTAAAGGTTCTTATAAAAGCAGAACAAAATGTCAAAATGAGTTAATTTGTAAATTTTTCCTGGAAATACATAAGTATATTAATAATTAATATGATATCCATATTTCTCTAGATTAAAAATAAAATAATACAAACTTAATTTATCAAACATCTAATATGTATCATTTCTACATAAATTAGATCAATAATAATAGATTATTATATAAATAATAATATGCATAGTTTGAGAAATGATATGTTTTCACATTCAAAGTACATAAATATGGTTATTATGTGTGATGTGTATAAAACATAAACATGCCTACATGAAAATTGAAAATATATTAATGTTTTAGATCATACTGAGTGAGTTATCTGAGCAAGGCATGCAACCTGGAGAAAGAAATCTGCTTTGACCAGGACGATGGCAGAGTATTTACATGTATGTGGATCTGCTTGTCCATGCTAACACACATTTTCTACCTTAAGTCAAAAATCCTTAATGTATTTTTAATTGCAGAAGTCAATACCTAGATAAAATATAGAAGAGTACAAGAGAAAACACTGAAATTCTAGGCTTAACGTAGTGTCAACTTTTGTCCCATCAATTAAACACTCTGTCCCAGTAAAATTTGGGACACTGATCATTAGAAATCGATACTTGATATTATAAAATAGAGATGATTTATATTTTCTCTACTTCATTTAATTAAGCTCTCCCTTTGAGAAAGCTCTGTTAAGAGATGAACAGGCCAACATTAGACAAATAAAAGAAGCAATGATTTAAATAATGAAATTGACAACAGCTATCTCAAGAGGACAGACTAAATTTCATGAACTATTTCAGGACAGACTAAATTTCATGAACTATTTCAAAACGATTTAGTGTAACCTTTCACTATGCTAAAATTAATTAATTAAAGAAATTTTAGGGGTTTTAGTTTTGTTTTTGCAAATATGAACTTCAGTTCCCCTAGGAAGGGATGCTGGTGACAGTATGAGACGTGAGATCAGGGAGATAAGAGGCAGAGCTGCCCTCTGACCTCAGGGGCCGCTGCAGATAACTCACAGAGCAGGTGACCAACTGGACAGGTAATAAAGGGGTGAGTACACTGTGTTTCCAAGACCCATCAGCCCATGTGTCACAGAGCTTTGTCTTCCCTTTAATTTACTCCAAAAGCTTTATTTGCCTTGGCTCACAGACTGATACCAAATAACAAATATTTCCGTCTAAAACACTTAATCTCTTTTAGTCCCTATGTTCTTTGACAGACCAATAGTTAGTATCCCTAAAGTCTGTAGCTTTCAATGATGCTCGAATCTCTGAAATGAGAGAACCCACTGTCTTGGCCCAAGCAGTTTTGTTGAGTCCTAGAGATGGATCATGTTCATAAGCACTTTTTTAGACATTTAGTGATAAAACTAAGAAGTCCTTGATTCTGTGTGTGTGTGGGGGGGAGGGGACAATTGATTTTCCAGCAATAAAAGCATTGACTGTATTATGGAGTTTATTATTATTTACCCATATTAAGTCAATAGTGAAGCTTAGATCCAGTCTTTGGTGCGTTTCAGAGTGAGGGCACTGGTGCTTACCTGGGCACAGTGTGGTACAGGCCACCTTGTGGACACTCTGGCCCTCACAGAAGGCCCCACCATTGAGCGGTGCTGGGTTGGTGCAGGTCCGCGTGCGCTTCTGAAAGCCCCGGCCACAGCGGCTGTTACACGCTGACCACTCCGTCCACGTGGACCAGCCCCCGTTCACTGCAAGGACACAGACAGCGAGATGTGAATTAAACACAGAGCACACACAAATGGCGCATAAGCAAAACTCTTCCCAAACAACAACAAAAACATCAAATCTCCTCAGAAAGAAATAGATAGACATAGAAAGATTGCATTCATGTAGGGAACATAAAGTAACAAAATAGGAGACTAACACCCAAGAATGGCCAGTATTAGTACCAGGAATTTTACTCCATGGCTTGGAGGCCAGCTACACATGCTAGGGGAAAAGGGAGCTCAGATAGAGAAGGGAGCACCAAATAAAGGGTGTTGGGAGGATCCTCCCAGGATGGGAGAAGCATGCTGAAAGTAGACTATGGACCAAACATGATAGCCACTCAATGCCTTTTTGGCAAACCACAGCACCCAAAAGGAGAGAGAGAAAACAGAGGGGAATGCCCTGCCACAGAGGCGACGTGGGATGGGGGGATGGGGGGTGGGAGGGATACTGGGATCTGTGGTGGTGGGAAATGGGCACTGGTGGAGGAATGGGTACTTGATCATTGTATAACTGAAACCCAAGCACAAAAATTTGTAAGTCTACAACTGTACCTCATGATGTCTCACTAATAAAAATTAAAAAAAAATAAAACAGTAAAAAAAAAGTCAAATCTCAATACTAAAGTCATCTTGGATATCATTTCACTCATGATTGTACTGTAAGACGGAATGGTCACAGCACAGTTTATACATGAATTGCAAATGTTACTGACCTACTGGGTAAACCAAAGAGGACAGCCTTTACTTTTTGCTAGCCAGTGTTCTTTTAAATAAACACATCCTTCTACTCAGACTCCAAAGAGTTCTGTTGACTCCTTATCTTAAATCAATGTTTCGAATCTTATGCAGGTAGGTCTGAAACATTAGCGCTACATCTAATCAGTTGTTTTTTTACTAATAACAGATGATTATCGTTTCCTCTACCTTTAACTTCATACCAGTTTAAGATTTTTTAAAAAATTTTGTTAATGTTTTATGCAGCTACCTGGTATAACTATTATTAAATGGAACTGACTTGAATGTCTAGTTTGCATATAAATGTGCATATGGCATTTGAGGGATCATGTTAATTGGTATAGCTATGACTATAAATCTTATATTTATAAATCTTACTCCCTGTAACTACTCACATTCAGTTAAGCTGCCCTAGAAAATAATTTTTAGTAACTCAATCATGTGTTTAAAATTTACTAAATAATTTCTTATTAAAGTTCCTGACAGTAGTTAAAAGCTCTGCAATGTCTGGGGCCTGAGAATAAAAATATTAGGTATTTCGGAAAGAATACAGCCCTTGCACGTGCTTATAATACCTAAATCTCTTTTCCTAGAAACCTGTGCGATAAGAATGATCATGAACGTATTTATACATATAAGTGCTTAAAGATATAAGGGCTGGAGTGATAGCACAGCGGTAGGGCATTTGCCTTGCATGCAGCTAGCCCAGCCAAGCCGGGTTCAATTCCTCCGCCCCTCTAGGAGAGCCTGGCAAGCTACCGAGAGTATTCAATATGCCAAACACAGTAACAAGAAGTCTCAAAATGGAGATGTTACTGGGCCCGCTCGAGCAAATCGATGAACAACGGAAAGACAGACTGTGTATGAGACAGACTAAGTGCTTAAAGATAAATTTTTCCCTGCAGAGTCCTTCTATAGAAAGATGGAACATTGGAAGCAACTACTATGTTCAACATAGGGTATGGGAAACTCAACCAAGTTTGTTCTTGTGATTGACGTCTAGCAATTTCCAGCTTAATGCCTCAGCATCTTCCAGGAGGATAGAGGGGGTGATTACAAAGGTTCACCCCCACAATAGCAGGAGCACTGTGGAAAATGGAATATAAAATATAGAAAATGGAAAATTTTGGAAAACACACGTAAAACTCCACCAAGCTCAATAAGCAAAGACAATATCACCAGTGATGTAAACCACATCAACAAATCCTCAGAAAGTGTCTTTAGTGACACGATGATGAGGGTGATCAATGAGTTCAAGGAAACCATAGCACAGGTAGGCAGCAAAGCACAAAAAGGAAGGAGGGATTTTGGTGGTGGGAAATGTGCAGTGGTGGAGGAATGGGAATTGGAACATTGTATGACTGAAACATGATCATGAACAGCTTTGTGACTGTATCTCATGGTAAGTCAATTAAAAAAAATAAAATAACAAAGTTCCTTTAAGGGGCAGAATTTCCCATCATCTGGAATTGAGCCTGGCGCCCACTCATGGTGCATATGGTTGCCCTCCAGTAGATTTAAAAGGGTTGAAAACACATAGCAATTAATCATCTCGTATTGACTTCTATTGATTTATTTTCTGATACTTCTATTTGACATTCTCTTAGTGTTTTTTTTTGACCAAATAATAGAACATAAGTTTCTTATAGACCTGTAAAGGGGTTAGACTGCATGGCAGAAGGAAATGTGTGTAAATTGGGGGAGGGAAGGAGACACTGGTGGTGGGACTGAAACATTGTGTGTCTGAAACAATTCTGTTATAAACATGTTTGTAAATCATGGTGTCTTAATAAACATTCTTAGAAAATAAAATTGGGCTGGAGCGATAGCACAGTGGGTAGGATGTTTGCCTTGCATACAGCCGACCTGGGTTTGATTCCTCCGCCCCTCTCAAAGAGCTCAGCAAGCTATCAAGAATATCTCGCCTGCACGGCAAAGCCTGGCAAGCTACCCGTGACGTATTCAATATGCCAAGAACAGTAACAACAAGTCTCACAACTTGTTGTGAGTAAATCGATGAACAACGGGAGGACAGTGCAGTGCAGTGCAGAAAATAAAATTAAAATGCATGAATATTTTGACATTATATTTTAGATAAAATATCTTCATTTCCAAATTATATCAATGTATAATACCAGTATTATATTTACAGGCGTCTTTTAAAAATCTATTGGTGGACAACTGGTAACGAACTTCCAGGTACTTATGTATTTGACTTTTCTGTGTTTTCTTATATAGACAATATATATTTGTAATGTGAAACTTATAATTAAGGTAATGAGTTGAATAATAAGCTCAAATGAGATACTGGCTAGATCTCTGTTTTTCCTTTCTGTTTGGGACAAGCCAAACTTTGTGCTTTGAACTACTTATTCTTTGAGTCCATGAGCGGTATAAGCAGAGAGTGAGTTATTTCATGCAATTTTATAATATATAATTGATACTGTACAGATTTATAAGGTACTAAATGGGATGGGATTGTTAATACAAATTAAATATATGAAATTACTGGCATGCAGGCAAGCATGTATCTGACTCTAGTCTACATAGAGCATCCTGAAAGGATTATAAGAAGTGGACAACCTTTTGTTTTGGTGTTTTGGCCACACTAGGTACTTAGGGCTTATTCCCGGCTCTGTGCTCAGGAATCACTCCTGGAAGACTTGGGGACCATATATAGTGCAGGGGATTGAACTCTGGTCGGCCATGTGCAAAGTAAATACCCTACCGGTTGTACTATTTCCAGAGCACCTCAGAAATTTAGCTTTAGATCAGATCGAAAGGTCTTAGAAGATTCTAGGCTCACTTCCTGCCCCTACAGAGAGGGCAAGGATATAAGTCATCCTGGCTGGAGCGATAGCACAGTGGTAGGGCGTTTGCCTTGCATGCGTCCCACGCAGCCGACCTGAGTTCGATTCCTCCGCCCCTCTTGGAGAGCCTGGCAAGCTACTGAGAGTATCTTGCCCGCACGGCAGAGCCTGGCAAGCTCCCCGTGATGTATTCAATATGCCAAACACAGTAACAACAAGTATGACAAACCGAGGTGAGAACTAATGAATTCTATACCAAAAGACCAATAATCTGATGCTCTTTGCCGAACTAAAAATGCTTTAGTTTACTCATCTTTGATCTTTGCTACACTGCTCATCTTATATTTATGGCTACAGAAAGAACGGCATATGGGATCATATTCAACAACTATCGAGACAGCGAGACAAGTTTGCCTTCATTAGTATGGGCATGAGTGTGCCCCATTTTATTCTTTCAAATTTCCAAAGCTGTTTGTCAAGCAATTCAGACAGAAGGTAGCAAGTGAAACATTTAATTGATATAGAAAAGACAGGCAATGGCTTACAATTTTGAATAGCCATTATCTTGAGTAGGAAATGAAACCTGCAGAGAAGAAATTCAGTGGTTTGAAAAAAAAAAAGAGCACAGCATCTGTCCTGTGATGAAGATGACACTTTGGAGGCCTCACTGCAATGAATGTCACAGGAGTTCTCTATGTCCCTGACTCTAGAGCACAAGGACGCACCTTCCGGTCCTCACTCCAGCAGGAAGTCCAACTCCCCCCCCCCCAACCCCTAAGACAGGAGAGCCCCTGAGTGTCACTTAGCACAAGAGCAGCCACAGGAAGCTCCTTCAGTCCTAAGTCACTCAGGCTGCTTCAGCATCTCGAAGAACGGCTCATTGCCAATCTAAGCCCTGCTCACGGCATGTGTCCGTGGGTATGTGCGTGTGCTTGCACACACATCCAGAACCTCACCGTGCAAAGGCCCGAGGGCTGAGAGGGGAACAGGGTGCCCGGGCTGCTGGGTGAAATGTTTCCGGGAGATGAGAACAGGGAAGGGGGAGAGAGAGAGAGAGAGAGAGAGAGAGAGAGAGAGAGAGAGAGAGAGAGAGAGAGAGAGAGAGAGAGCGCATCCTGAAGGAATCGAGACGGGGAACCCAGCTATAGGGCAAGGAGGAGGCTGCTCTTGGTGAGTGGGTGTCCAGTTCTCTGAGGCACTGGAGGACAGGAGAGCTGCAGGTGCCAGGGTCAGGTCCCTGAATGACCCCTGCAGCCTTAGGACCCTCACTCCCAGCTCACTTCTGGCCGGGCCTTTCTGGGTCTGGAGAGACAAGGGCTGTGGCATAGGGATGAACTTGCCCTTTTCCACCAGCTGGGGGGCCCCAGGGGAAAACTTCCAGAGTCAGAGAAGCTGCACCTCATCCTGGTCCACAGGAAAAGTGGCTGAGAACACCCCGGTAGTCGGAGGGTTGCCTCAGTCCTGATGCTTCAGGGTAGCAGCTGAAACTGCTGTTGGGCACGAATCAGATGGAGCCCGAGGTCACTCACTGTAGACCAGGTGAGAACCCAAGGTCACTCAGTGTAGACCAGGACAGAGCCCAGGTCACTCACCACAGACCAGGACCGAGCCCAGGTCACTCACCACAGACCAGGACCGAGCCCAGGTCACTCACAATCCACCAGGACGGAGCCCAGGGTCACTCCCATAGCCCAGGACGGAGCCCAGGTCACTCACCGTACACCAGGACGGTCGCCGTGGTGCTCTTCCTCTTGGCGACGATGTTCTTGGCTACGCACGTGTAGTTGGCCGTGTCGGAGAGGCGGGCCTGCTTGATGATGAGGTTGTGGTCGATGGTGATGTAGAAATTTCTGTCCTCCACGGGGTCGATGATGTCTTCGTTCTTCAGCCACTCCACCTGCGGGCACAGGAGACCCGTGAGTCTCTCCCCGACCCCCGGGATGTGCAGAGTCTCTCTGACCTGGGGGCCTCTACATGCTGGGAAGAAGCACCTCTGTGGGGTCAGCTCGGTTTCCCCACTGTCCGGCAAGCCGGCCCCGCCTGCACCGCGTTATTCTCGAATGTCCGTGAAGGACAGGGAAACCCAGTGCTCAGCTGGTTCTCACCACGCCCAAAGGCTGAGCTGGGGATGTTCACCGCCAACTCCAGAACCCAATCAAAATAATAGGCTGAGCGTTTCAAACTGCACTCAGACCTTTTGCTGGCTTGATTTATTTACTTATTTGGCAACATCTGCTGCTTTTCAGGGGAAAAAATCACGACTATTAAAAAGGGCTCAAAAGGCATTTAGGCATCCTGTAGCTCTAATAAAACAACATTTGGATGATATAGGAGAGTTCCGATGAAACATGGATTAAATGTCTGAAAACGCACTTTCTTTATGATGTGGAAAATACCTCTTTGAAGATATATCCATCTCAATTTAATTGGAAAAAGAGAGGTTTTCTACCAACTCTATATAATCCAAATTGCATAAAAAGTAACAAATTGTATAAAAAATAAAAAACTATTTTACATATTAATACATTAAAATATTTTGCTCATAACTTGCTTCTGGGGAATCTAACACAAAAAATAACTGTTCACAAGGACAGACGTTTTTTCTATGCCAAAAAAGGTAAATTTAGCATTGGTGTTAGTGTTCTTGCAAAATAAAAAGAGGAAAGTATAGTTGCATTGACTGCCTTTATGTTTATCCTATAAAAACGGGATAAACTAATTCTTGTCCTATAAATTGCTTCTTTTTTGTCATGCAGTCTATTTAAATAAAGCAAAACAACACTGATATTTAATACAGTCAGCTTTTCATGTTGCTTCAGCAAGTAACCTTTCGTGGTGGGGAGTCCACAGTGTGTGCTGCCGTTTTCAAAACCGTAAGGAGCTTCTTCAGCCCCACAAGAGGCCTGAAAATTAATCGCTAAATCTGTCAATAGGCTTCATGCTGCACTGCTCAGAATTACGTCAAGTGCAGGAACTCTAAAATAATGCTCCTTTAAGTCTTAGCAAGGAGATTATAAATTAAAGAGAGAAGACCCAACAACAATCCCAAAATAAGTGGATGCAAACGTATATAAGAGTGATGTTAAGGATATAAAATTTCCAGAGAGCCAAGCATTCCAGGTATTTATAGTAATTGTTGTGAGACAGAAAAAAGAATGTATTTCAATCTGTGGAGTTTCAAAACCTTCGCTTCATGTTCACAAACGGCTCATCATGTCTTAGAATATTTGCTATGGACTCATTGCCCTGGATTTTCTCAGACCTTGGCCGCGTGTTATGGGAATTGCTCTTGCTAAAAGTGCAAAAGGTAAAGTAGCAAAATTCACACTGCTGGAAACTGACTTGATGGAAATTGAAAGTCGATCTGAAATAGTTTGAATCTAATCTTCACTGAGGCCAACGTGCCCTTCTAAAGAAAACTTTCCACTTAGGAAGGGTCACAAGAGACCGTCTGGAGCAGAGATAAATGCCTTGGAGTATTTCTACTTTTCTCTCTCGGGTTCAGTACACTTTTCTTTCAAGAACCCACAGTGTGTGCAGCCTCCAGACCCTGGGCTCTGTGACCCCCAACCCCCGGGAGATCCCCAGGGGGCCACAGCTTCCCCTTCCTCACCGACCCGTCAAGACTGGTCAGAACGGGACTTACAGCTGAGGTGGAGAAACTCCATTTCTAAATCACTGCCTCTCAAAAACGGAAATTCCTGATCAACAGCAGGCATGACAACTGAGGCCCTGCTAGAAATCTGGACCGTCAGGTTCTATGGGGGACGCCTCGGGAGGCCAACGGGCACCAGGCGAGGAATCCAGGGACCTGGACATGCTTCACGTGTGCGAAGTAGGCCTCTGCCTCTTCCTTCATAGCCGCATCGTCAGAGTCTTGCTTCCAAGCATTATCTCTCTTTTTTTAATTTTTATTAGTGAGACACCAAGAGGTACAGTTGTAGACTTACAAATTTTGTGCTTGGGTTTCAATTATACAGTGATCAAATACCCATCCCTCCACAGGTGCCCATTTCCCACCACCACGGATCTCAGTATCCCTCCCACCTTTAAGTGTGTTCTTGCCCATTCCTTTTAACCAGAGCCCCCATTCCAACACCCCAGGACCCACAAAGCATCATCCATTATCTGTCACCCCTCATGCCCCTTCCTCCCTCCCTACTCTATCTCTGTGTGTCTCTCTCCCTCTTCCTCTTTCCCCTTTTCTCTGTTTGTCTCTCTCCCCTCCCCTTTCACCCCCTCTCTCCCTTCTCTCCCTCACACTCCTCCTCTTCACACACTCCCTCCCTCTCTCTTTCTCTCTCCCCCAAAGCCCTATAACCAGGTTGGAGAGATAGTCAATGGGTAGGAGGCTCGCCTTGATATAGTCAGCCCACGTTCAATTCCTGCCAGCCCACAGAATCCCACAAGCCCTGCCCCAAGTGGGCCCTGCGCACAGTGCAGGAGTGAGAATCAGTGGCTGTGGGCCAAAGAGCAAGGAAAAAAAAAACACCCAACAAGACCCAAAGTCCTATTAACCACCCACATGATGCCATCTCTCCATCACTGTCCTCTTCTACCCCTTCTCTCCAGCTAGAGGCGCCCTTCCTGTCTCTGTGAAGTGAGGGGTACCCACTGCGGTGGTCTCTGAGCCTGCTGGTGCCTGCCCAAACTGGTCATTCCAGTAGCTTGTTCCTGTTCTCCTCGAGGGCTTTGTTCAGGTGCCATAACCCCTGTCAACTTCCACAACGGCGAAACCAGACAGGGGTCAGGGGAGGTGTGTAGCAGCCAGAGCTGGGTCCTGGGCGAGTCGAAGACACGGGGGCCAGCTGGGACTCCCAGAACCATGGGCTACGGAGAGAGCTGAATCCTTGGAACTCACATGGAGTCCCTGCACCCGTTAGCTGAGAGTTCCAGGAAGACCCCACGCTTCGCAGCTCTGCTGGAAACCCCTTCCCCAAGTCAACAAAGCAAGCATCACTCTCATCCTGGGCCTCCATCTGCTCGCCTTACCTTCTCAGAAAGGGGAAATTATACTCGCCTGGTTTCTATTCCTGTACTGTTAATCGGAATTTAAGTGCCATTAATTTTGATCCATGTTTTGATTGACATATTCCTGTTGCCCGGAATTGGCAGATAGATAGTGCCTACTTGTATTTAATTAATCTATTAAAAAAACAAACAAACACCTCAGATGCACAGTAAGGGGATCAAGTATCTTACAATACTTTTCGGCCTTTGTATTGTTGGTGTGTAAGCTGTAAACATAAATAATGACTTTATTTAGGGACGGCCATTTTAGACATCCCTCTAACTAAACCTGCTTAGCTGTGGCTAGAGTTATGCTAGAAATGATGAACTCAAATCTCTAGTGTGTGGAGAGAAATCTGACAGAACTTTTTGGCCTCACAGTAAACTCACTGGGGAAATTTTCAGAAACAGCATCTAGAATTCTGTATTCTTCTAGTATTTAGAACTTCTTTTAGAACTCTGATAAAATCCCCTGTGATTCACTGGGCTCTAAAGAGCCCCCAGCCAGCATGCCTTAGCTGACATCTTTGCAAACACACAGCCCTCATTATGTCTACATGTCCGCTGCAGAATTAAAGGAAAGGTATTTGGTACCTGAGTAATTGTAGGCATTCATCAAGAAAATATAGAATCCTGGTGATCATTTAAAGTCTGAGCATTCAAAATGGTATCCCAAGAACTCTAACTTCTAACTAATTAGGGATACTGGCATTAAGCAAGGGGTCGCTTATGGAATTCTGGGTCAGGAGAAAAAGCATGAAGCGTGTGTGTTCTTTGTGTGCAGCTCAGAGAGACCTGCCGTGTGGGATGACGGAGGTGACCTGAATCTCACATCAGGTGCAGAGAGGGTATTTGAGAAGTGATCAGGGCCCTGGCATCTGAAAGGCGGAATTCAGCGTCCTGGAAGGCAGAGGGCAGGGCAGGTCGGGAGGCCTTTTGAGGAGAGCAAACCACTGGGACTCCACAGCAAGAGCCAGAACTCCTGGGCACTGCGGGAGAACACCAGGGCCTGGAAACTGCAATGTACCTACAAGGGTAGGAGGAAGGCGGAGTGTGTGGGGTCTTTCTTAGGAGCATCTGGACACTCCGGCTCTGGGCCAAGGTGCCTGGCCTTGACCCACGGCTGCTGCAACCAGCAAGCGGGTTAGGGTGAAGAGCATGTAACTGCATTAATAATGGCTGTTTAGGATGGTGGTAAGATCAGACAGGAAGCTCAAGGGATCATAGGTGATACGTAAAAAGGCCATAGTCCTAGTGAAAGGTCAAGAGGAGACCACCGGGGGCAACATAGAAAGGCAGGGGGAGAAAATGATGAGAAGAGGCAGGATGGTTGATTTCATATGGAAAGGAGGGAACAAGTAATAAAGGAGGCAGGACATATTTTAGGCTGGTTTTTAAAGGAGGCACTTAACATATGCATGGCATTATTCACTGATGGGCTCTAAGTTATTTTAACTGTTTGTTATAGTAAGTATATTTGAAATTACAATAATACAAGTATTGTAAAAATGTGAATGTGTCTCCTTTGTCCTAGCCCTGAGATTTCTGGAAGAAAAAATTAAAATCATAAAAAGTATTGTGTAAGGGGTCATCCAGATCAATGCAAGAGACATATGAAGAGCTTCATCTTCTAAATATATACACCTCCTTACACAAATTGTGTAGAATCCCAAAGAACTTTTCTTGTGCTAGGGGCTTCATCATATATAAAAGTACATGAGTGACAGTGTTACAGTGCTGCTTGTTTTGCTTCCTAGGATCAAACACAGGTTGAAACATAAACTAAAACCCTATTCCCAGCCCAGCGTGATTTATTCCTGATCTGACCTTGTGTAATTAGGACTACCGTCTCGCCCCTAAATCTTCTTTAAATTCTGGTTATGTTGA